GATATTCAAAAGTTTTGATGAAAAGAGATATGGGTCGATCAAAGCATATGGCTGTTGTGGGAGCATCCAATCTGCAGAGAGCTGCCGAGGCAAAAGCAGCAGGCTTTGATCCAGCAGCAGCAGGAGGAGCGGATGGAGAAGCAACTGGAGAAGCAAAAGAGCAGGCACTGATCGACCTCCGTCCAGCTGGAAGATTTTCAGTACCAGCCCCGACTTGTTCCATTTCGCCAACTTCGGTCCTCATTGTTTGTAGGGCCAAGAAGCGTGCAACTGCAAATGAAGAATCCATCATTTTTTGGACATTAGCCTTCCTCCCACCTGCCAGGCGCTCCTTTAGTCGTGATGCTCCACGTGAGGTTCGCGAAGGTCGTGAAGGGCAAGGTACTGTGGCAATCAGGCTGGATGGTGCTGAGAAGATACTGACAATATTTTTTTTGAAATGTATCGAAGTTTCATGAATTTTCACACATAAACATCTAAGACATCTAGGATATTTATGATACTGTATATGTTTGTACATATCATACATTTACCTGTAAATTAATGTAACTGTTTAAATGTCTATGACACTTTTCTCACATTTACAATATGATTTTTATGAGCTAGATTTCCTTCAAAGCACCGATCCAATTGAAACTGGAGCCAGGCCCAAGGCCAAAGCCCGCGGCCGTGACAGCATTTCTCCAAGGCAGTTCCTGCTGATTTTTCAAGATGTGAAATGGGGATATCATATCCTTTAAAGATACTTAAACATGGGGATATGATCAACCCAACCCAAACCTCTTCAGATATTGTTCACATTTTTTGCAGCTGGCTGGCTGCTGTTGTTCCCACATGACACATCCCAGCTGCCGGACAGGCGGAAGAGAGGTGTCAGTGTGGGCAACAAGCGCCCATGTCCCGAGCCCAGCGTTTTCAATGTTTTCAACACAGCATAGGGATCTGAGAAATTCTGAAGAAGATGCGACTGCATATGGCTATTGCATTCCTCAAAATCGGTCCAGAGTATAGGCATCCCCCTTTCCCGGGTATCGCCGGTATCGCCATATTTGGTTTTTTTAAAATCCCCATGTTGGGATGATCAGGCGTGAGTCGCGGCCGATTGCGGTCTCCGGGGCTGCCTCCGCCCAAAGACAGGACTGGCCCGGTTTTGGTTTGCCGAAGATCCGAAGATTCAATGGATTGTTGTGAACATGTTATGATTTTTGATGGGAAACCAGGTTTCTTTTTTTTCCATTCTTTTTTCTTCCATAAAATGTAAGGATTAATCATTGGAAGTTCCGGAAGGTATTGAACAATCATTGAAAGTTTGCAAGTTCTACTCATGTTGGAGGTATCAGGAAGCACATCACGCACTAACTGAGGAGTGCTGAGGCTTCTTTGAGTCCATCAGATGGCGTGAAGAATCCTCCAGCAAACCGGCAGGCCAGCAACCTTTTGACCAGAACACATTGAGTTCTCAGTATGGGTCAAGCCTCCTTTTTGTGAAGATAGGGGATCTTGTGATGTGCATCAGATTCATCATGGTTTTGGATGATGTTTGATCAGGACTATGTACCCATTATATCCCTATTACGGGGATGATTTGGTGCTGTTGCTTCCCACACCGCCTGGAGCATAAGCTGTCCACAGGGGCCTGGCCGGGGTCGGGTTCGATCTCGCAGCGGCCGCGTGCTTCGGCGCCGGTCACAATCCATCCGAAGAAGGCGCGCGCGGCGCGGTCCATCCCCAGGAGGTCCTGGCCAGGGCTTCCCATTTTTCCGAAGCTTTTAGGAACTTTTGGGGGTATGAATTGGAGAGGCTTGGGCTAATTACGGCAATATTAGGGCTAATTACTTGCTATACACTACTTTCAATTCTTGGTAAAACATCTCTGATTGAGATTAGTTCCGATCGAAATATGTCAGGAGTATTGAAACAACATATATCAGCGACCAGCAGCATGTAGGCTTGCACAACTACGTCACTACACACACATGTCATGTATGTTGTATACAAATATGGGCCACTTCTCACCCAGGTAATACCAGGATCTTGACTCATGCCCATCCGTGCCATGGAGGATGGCCATCAACCAGGGATGGGTAAACAAGATCCCTATATTAAGAAAAGCTAACATAGTTGGGTGTTTAGATAATATTATTAGTCTTTGTCCTAAACCGTCATAGCATATTTATCATTGATGATTTTCATATAGATATATTATGATCAGTAGTCAGTATTCATAGTCTTTATCATAATTTATCATGGTATATCATCATCTCGTCTAATGAACAGGGTCAAGGTGTTATGATAAGATCTCACCAATCCTTGTATCTTATCATATATTATCATGATATATGATCTAATATGGATATAATACGATCAACTATAATTATTCATAGTAATCTCAATCCTAAATCAATATAGAAACTATATCATGATCATTGGATTTTATGAATATTAATAGTATATATATCATATATTCTAATGATTCATAGTCTATGATTCATGATCATTTATCTATGATATCATGAATAGTTTATATAATCATATTATTATGACCATTTATCTATGATATCATGATCATTTATCTATGATATTAGAAACTATATCATGATCATTTTATCTAATGACCAAGGGCGATTCCAAGTGGATCTCTGCAGATTACCTGGACCCCCGGCTTCACCGCGGCGCTCCAACTCTGTGTGCGGAAGCCCTGGGAATCTGCGGGGTTTGAGAAAAAATGATGGGTACCCTCTGGTAAACTAACATAGCTATGGAAAATCACCATTTTTAATGGGAAAACTCACTATTTCAATGGCCATTTTCAATAGCTATGTTAAATTACCAGAGGGTATATGTTTTAACCATGAATTTTCAAGTTCTATACTTCTATAGTGGTTGTCTATTTTCACCAACAATACTGGGAAACTTTGATAACCCATGGTGTTAAGACTAACCATCAACCACTGGGATTTCATCATCAAATAAGCATGACATAGCCTTCAAATCACCTTCAAATAACTGCTGAATAATGGACATGCTTAAAGTAAATGTTGGTATCCATCATGTTCCCTTTCCGGATTTGAGACCACAAGGAATGTCATTTGATAGTGAAATATGTAGATGTACCCTGGAAATAGGGATAACCTGCGGTTGTAGCCAGGAAATGCGGATAATACTTGTTTTAAGCAACAGAAATGGGGCAACACCAACAATACTGTATATAGGGCTCCAATCAAGAACACATTTCGGAGTAACCCCAAATATGACCAATTTTGAGTAATTATCATAGCTCAATCTCTTTTTTTTGCATTCAAGATAACTGGGGGCACTTTGTGTGCCTTGCTTTTGGGACTTGCTGGATATTGACCTATTGATCACAAAGAGACCTAAAGCTAGAACGTGCATCAGCTTGTAGATGGAAATGATATATACATATATATATATATGTAATATACATATACACACATATACACACACACACATATATATATATTATATACACATAGTTTTTATTTAACGTCTAAAAGTACATTCTTTCTCGTTTTCATGCTATTTCCAAACATGTTACAGCCTCAAAATTTGCGGCTGTAACGTGTCGCCGAGCTGGCGGCAGAATGGGTTAAAGCGCACTAAAAGGTAGTGGTCAGGTCCCCGTGCCTGGGAAAATCCCTATTTTTCAGGTAGACGGGTGCCCTTCACCTGGAGGGCAACCACATTTCAACAACGACCAAGCCTTTCCGAGGATCCAGCGGAGAGGCAAGCGTCGAAAACGGAATGCTCCGATGTCGCCGGATCGGCCGTCTCCGGCACCAGAAAAGAGAGGTGGACTGCTGCGAAATGGGTGGGCAACTGAACATGAGAGATTTGACCCAAAAAAAGGAAGACGATGATGAACCTAACCATGGGATTTTTGGGGTTTCTCCGAAGTTTCCAGATGAAACCTCACACGAAGGAATGGAAGGAGCGGATTCAGAGCATTTGCGCCAGGTGTTCGATCACAGTGCGGCTCCTGATGGTTTTGCTGCCAGCAGAATGACATGCAGAGAGGAAGCGATCACTTTGAGTACTCGTGCAACGTCGGACATCCTGCAAACTTTGCTGACTCCATGCAGTGCCGAGAAAATCTCAAATATGGCTTTGTCCAAAAAAAGGCTACCTCAAATTGGGGTATCCTATGGTATCCTATAGTATCCTCCATTTTCGCCGCCAGTATCATAAGCATTGAGAGTTTCCCAAGGCTTGGAGGTCGGCCGAGAAGAGGCTGGATGTAGAAGATCTCTACCTGCGAGAATTTTGCTGGTGGAGAAAGACAATCTTTAGAATAACATTCTATATATATATATGTTCTATATAATATAGACGTAATATATACATAATATACATATACGTACATGTATATATATATACAAATAATATCACTCAGTGTGTCATTAAGTGCAGATAAATTTTAGCAGTTTCTGGGTTCGGCAGGTGGAGCCCTTCAAGGTTGAGGCGCCAGCTGCAGAAGATGTTTCCTGCAGTCAGATCTGTTGTTTTTTTCTCAGATATTCCATATTGGAACTGTTATGTGTTGGGATCAATTATTAATACATCCATCTTTTTCTTGGTGACACGCGACTTACATCACCTTTGTTGAACTGTTCTCATTTTTGTTATCCAGCTATGGGGATCCAGTACGCCGTACGCATGACCCAACGCTGTCGCTGTCCCGGGCTCGGCCACACTGGGCTGTCGCTGTCCTGGGCCCTCTGTGCAGGTCTCATGTTACCTCTGGTAATTTAACACAGCTGACATAGCTTTTCAACATGGCTAAGTTAACTGTAGGCGAATACTATTCAAAATTTGAGGCTTTCGGACACCCTCACAGCCAGTGGCAACCTCTATAGTTGAATTCTCACAGGCCCATGTTTGTCTCAGAACTCATAAACTTCTGCTCCTTTGCTTGTCAGACTGGTCACAATCAAGAATTGGAGGCGCCTTTGCGCAGTGGTTGCAATTTGTGTCGACAAAAGGGGAAATGTCCGATGCATCACAGCAATGGGGAAGACTCGCAAGAGTATCACTACGAGATCCGCTCCCTTGCAGCAATTGAAGAAGCACTGCGAAATGCTGAAGCAGAGACTGTCCAGGATGTAGGTCAAGTTTGAAACGGGACAAACGTAGCAAGACGATTCAAAAGTAAGGAGACTAAGCCACAGGTCGGACAAACAACGTGTGGAGAATCTCCTGCTATCTCCAGTTCTCCAAGGTATTGTTCTACCATCTACTTCACCAGCGCAGGAGAATTCACTGCAGCCAGACATGGACGGATAGTCACGAGAGCACCCCGGCATTTTGAGCAACCAATTGCTAAGAGAATGGGCAATCATAGCAGCCATCTGGGTAAGTGAAGGTCAACAAACATGTCTCATGTTGTCTGCCACATTCATTTCATCAACATCATCAACCCCAAGTGATTTTCCAGTGTATCAAAGATATTAAAGTGAAATGATAGGTCAGCAACAATTAACAATCAGCAACCAGTGGTATCCAGTGGTCATTTTACGACAGGAAGCCATCGACCTGTTGAGAACTGCGGGAAACGAGCTGCTGCCCCGTGGGCCGGCGCATGTGACACTGGGAGAGTTCAGCTGTACATCGAGAGATGAGCCCCTTGGCGGATGTGGAAACATGTGGAAACCCGTCGAGCCATTGAGATACGGGGAAGATGGTGGATCTGATGATTACGGAAAAAAAGCATGTGGGGATTCCGGGATTCCCCTAGTTTTTCCGAAGCCTCATGCTACTTTCCAACTTGTCAGGTGAGAGAATGTTCATGGGAGCCAGTTGTGATAGATGAAACTGCTGTGAAGCAAGACGTTTAACAGAAATGGGTGAGCCTCCGCTTCACCTCCACTTCTGTTTGCAATGATCAGTGACCGATGAGCCTGTTGACATTGTACAAACTAGCTCATTCCGAAATGCTATATATGGCAATGCATGAGCAGCACTTGCGATGTCCAACTGCTATGAACCTCGTCAAGAAAGATCGCAGTCTGGAGAATTATCAATTACCATACTTGGGGTTGCGTCCCAGCTAGTCAGTGGCTAATAAACCAGAATATAGGTGTATGTATATATATATATGTATATATAATATATATATATGTATATAATATATATATATGTATAATATATATATATATGTATATATATATGTATAATATGTATATATATATGTATATATATAATATGTATATATATATATAACATGTATATATATATATAACATGTATATATATATAATATGTATATATATATATATTACTGCCGCCGACCCCAGAGGAAACCAAGTACTTGTGCAGAACAAATGCGGACACGCCCTGTAAGCCTGACTTGGACAGCGAGCCGCTGCTAGCTAGCACGTGCTGCACAGTCTGGATTGCCTGCCACACTTTGCAATGGCTCTGCCACGTGGCGGGCAGACTTCAAGGCCCACCATGGCTCACCCACACTTGGGTTGGAGGATTACCAGCTGGACGCAAAGATGGTCGCTTTGGAACAGGTCTTCGTCACTACCTGCCTGTTGGCGCTGTTTAAGCATGTAAAACATGGAAACGACCTAATAGTATAAGTACACTGTATATATATATATATGTATTGTATATGGACTTTCAAACGTGCCTGAAATTTGTGCAATTCAGATTTGTAACTTAAATCGCGCTGTTGCCAAAACGCACTCTTTTGAAAAAATGAATTGAAATTCCCAAAGCACACTTTTTTGGATGCCCGGGCAAGCTCCACTTACAAAACGCGCAGAAATTGGAATGCAAAAAGCATACAAAAAGGTGCAAAATGCGCGCAAACCTGTGCAAAATGTACCAATCCAAAAAAGGCGCAAATAAGGTGGATCTGATGATGTTGGGCGCATGAATTCGCGCATGTTCCGTGCAAACGTTCTGAAATTTAAGGGACGCGCAGAACTTTGTTGAACCGTAGCTAAACTTTCACGCACACAAAAGCTATAAATGCAGGTCCTGGATATTTTAATATTTAGTTGTATTGGCATATTAATTACATAGTCGTTTCGGTCGATCGATAAATATAACTCCACCCCAGTGGGGCAATGGTAATTATACATAAGTTGGCTCCAAACAATAACAATTAAGAATAGGTCCCCCCACTCTGACGGGGGGCTTAGGCAATGGCTGAGCCATGATTGACATGACGAGGCCAAGGGCTTGGATGGGCTTGGTGAACACCTGCAAGCCGTACACCTTTGTTTGTGCATGTGCTTTGTGCTCTGTGCTTTGCGCTCTGTGCTCTGTGCATGTGCTCTGTGCTCTGTGCTTTTTGCAGTGTGCTTTGTGCTTAGTGCTTGGTGCTTGTGGGAGCCTTCTTTAGGGGTGGCAAGCCAACGGGAAATTTACAAAGGTTGGTGAAGAACTCAAGGCCTGGCCGCAAGTTGCAGTAAGCGCACAGAATCACAGCCACACCATGATCTGCAGAATGGGCATGTCAACATGCATTCGCGTCTGATAGTGAACCTGGTGTGGAGCCATTCATGGTTCAATAGCAGGGCTGTGCAAGCGATGCAGTTTTTGAGGATATCAACATCAAAACAAAGCCAGCTCATACACATTAATCACATCAAATATGTTGTAGCAACTTCAAAGATGTTCTACCACAATTTTTGCCATAGCCACCAGCCAACAGGGGCTGCAGCTGGTCACTCTTCGTCTCAGCTTTCATGATCCAAGAATCTGAATTGGTTAGTCAGTCATAGCCATCACTCATTCATTTTCCAATAATATTTAGGGATTCAAGTAGCAAGATTCATGATATTTGTGACGTAAATTGTCTATATAGATTCATCGGAACCAAGTACATGGGACTGAGTTTCGAGTAATGACAGATCGGTATATTTTAATTTTTGATGATGGGCCATGGTTTGTCGGAATAGCAATGGCACCTTGGACAAGGACTTCCAGAGACCTTGAACGTGAGCCTTGGCATCATCATCATTATGATGGAGTGATTTGAAATGACGGAGGTTCTAACTTTTCTGTGGGTTTGCTGCCACAAAAAAAGGTTAAGAAAAGCAAGAAGAAGCCCCTGGAGGCCTTCTTTTGGGGTTAGCAAGCAAACAGGACAATTGCTAGCTTGAAGAGAATGTAAGCGTGGACAATCAACCAGCTTGGGCTGTCTTTCCCACACCTCACCTCCGGATCGGAATCGATATCAGAATTATCTCCAAAGGCATCAAGGGCATCAGGCCAAGGCAGGCAAGTTGTTTCCAGGATAGTTACAACTTGTTGTTAGGTCTAGTTGTGTTCAAGAGATGCATTATGACGGTCACATGGTATGATTGTCCTTCGACAGTATAGCTTGCTGGTTGGCATGTACCTTGATCTGCATGTCCAGCTTCACACTTGCATGTCCAGCTCTAATGCATCTGAGAAGCATCCGAGCTTGTTGTTGCCAGCTAGAACAGCACAGGCAAGAGTAGTTTTGCCACCTCCGAAGGCAGTGCCCTGGCATTGGATAGAGAAGTCTTCAAAATGGGATGCCAATGGTTTTAGATGTTGTTGAACTAATTCATTCATGAATTGTCCGAAGGGTTTTAGAATTTCCGTCAATACCAGCCCAAGGCTAGACACAAGCTGGTTAGAGGGTAGCATGACACAAATAGATGGTACTATTTAACACTAGCTCAACCCATTAGTCTTTGGAGGTCACACTGTTTGAGTTAGGGTCCTCTCTCTCTCTCTCTTTTTCTGTCTTTGAAACTAAACTCCATACAAAAACGATCAGATGTTGCTTATAGTTTTTGTTTAATGACTTCGGTTGAAATCTTGCCAGTGTGTCATCTACCCTTCATGAAAGAAACAGCCTCTGTGCCACACCATCTAAGGCTGGGCCGCCCATTGTTGAAGAGCCTGAAGCCCTGGCTGTTTCTTGGAGAGAGGGTTTAAGGACGTTCCTTCGGTACTCCGAAACAAAAATAAGGGGGTCGACTCCTGTGGCAGAGGTCCCCCAAAAGCTGTTTTTATTTCCATGTTTTCTTTTTTTCAACAAAAAAGGGGGCTGGGCACCATGATTCGGAAGAAATACCTTGGGTATTGCTGATTTTATTTCGCACAGCTCCGGTCAAAGGACCCTCCCGCAGAGCTCAAACACCAGGGCAGCGAAGGACGGATCGGGCCCGCGGCCGGCAGCCCAGAGTGCCAAACGTTGCTTTCTGAACTGCCTAGAAACTAGCTTCAGGCCTTCCATTCGCTTGCTTTCCTGCACTGCCAGCTCCCCACTTGCTTGCGTCCTCTTGCAGCTGGCTTTCGTTCTGCACAGCTCCGGCCAAAGGAGATTCCGGCAGAGCTCAAACACCAAACCAGTGGAGGACGGATCGGATCGGGCCCGCGGCCGGCAGCCCAGAGTGCCAAACGTTGCTTTCTGAACTGCCTAGAATAACTAGCTTCAGACCTTCCATTTGCCCCACTTGCTTGCGTCCTCTTGCAGCTGTCTTTCGTCCTCCACAACTCCGGTCAAAGGACCCTCCCGCAGGGCTCAAACACCAGGGCAGTGAAGGACGGATCGGGCCTGCGGCCGGCAGCCCAGAGTGCCAAACGTTGCTTTCTGAACTGCCTAGAAACTAGCTTCAGGCCTTCCATCGGCTTGCTTTCCTGCACTGCCAGCTCCCCACTTGCTTGCGTCCTCTTGCAGCTGGCTTTCGTCCTGCACAGCTCCGGTCAAAGGACCTTCCCGCAGGGCTCAAACACCAGGGCAGTGAAGGACGGATCGGGCCCGCGGCCGGCAGCCCAGAGTGCCAAACGTTGCTTTTGAACTGCCTAGAAACTAGCTTCAGGCCTTCCATCGCTTGCTTTCCTGCACTGCCAGCTCCCCACTTGCTTGCGTCCTCTTGCAGCTGGCTTTCGTCCTGCACAGCTCCAGTCAAAGGACATTCCCGCAGAGCTCAAACACCAGGGCAGTGAAGGACGGATCGGGCCTGCGGCCGGCAGCCCAGAGTGTTTTCCTGCACTGCCAGCTCCCCACTTTTTATTTGTGATTCTCCTTACTCACAAATTATATTTTTTCACTTTTTTTTTCACCGTTTTTTTCCGGTACAGTGCCGTCACTATTTGTTTCGCATTTTTTCCGGGTACAGTTCTGGTCATTATTTTTTCAAAACATATTTTCACTAATTAATTGTTGAAACCACGTTCAACGGTTCCCTGGGTGGCACTTCACAATGATATATTATATTGTTTTACCCAGTATGAACTGAGCGTATGCATGTGCAATTTTGATTTATTTTTTTGAGATCCAGTCGGAAAGTTTCCAACGGTTACGTTCATTTGCATGTCAATTGTGATTTGATCTTTACAATAACGGCATTGTAGCTACATGTGCTATCCTTGTGTGAACTGAGTCCTTCTTTGAAGCAGGTCTCAAGTTATGCATGTGCAATTTGCTAAGATTACATTCATTAGCATGTCAAACCAAACTTGTCAGTATATGATATTGAATATATTAAGAGATTTATGCTAACTTTTCACTTTTTGTGTGTGTCCTGTTTCTGTGTGAGCAAGAGTTCCAAACCAAGTTCCCGGTCCCCTCTGCGCCAAGGTCAACACACTGGATTGCCAAGTTGCACCAGGTCGATCCAGGAATGTTCGGTATAGAAAAAAAACGCCCCTGTTCGGGACACTGCCTGTTCGGCAGACTAGTTACTGTTTCATGCATGTCACGCAAGTCCCAAACACAAAGGTCCTGGCAATGGTATTTCCAAGGAACAAGACCTGGTATACGTCTGTGGCTAATGCGTATGTATATATGTATATATATACACATATGTATATATACATTTAATTTCATTACATTACATTAGATCACATTACATTTACATTACATTTACATACATTTACATTACATTTACATTACATTTACATTACATTTACATTACATTTACATTACATTTACATTACATTTACATTACATTTACATTACATTTACATTACATTTACATTACATTTACATTACATTTACATTACATTTACATTACATTTACATTACATTTACATTACATTTACATTACATTTACATTACATTTACATTACATTTACATTACATTTACATTACATTTACATTACATTTACAATACATTTACATTACACACATTACATTTGCATTAAATTTACATTACATTTACATTACATTTACATTACATTTACATTACATTTACATTACATTTGCCTTACATTTACATTACATCTACATTGCATTTACATCACATTTACATTACATTTACATTACGTTGCATTACATTTCATTGCATACATACATACCAGCCAAATTCCATCAAATTCCAAGGACGGAAGTCATGGTAAGAAATTTCCGAGGACAAAAATCCTGGACTCATTTTTATTAAAATGGAACTACACATATTTGTCCAAGGACTTGGGACATGGGGCAAGATGTGCGTTGTTTCTCAATAGTTTTGTGTTTGCCGTGGTACTGGTCTATCTACTTCATTTTCATCCACATACTGAACAGCAAAAACAAAATTCCTATCTGTGTATCTGCACATATATCTGACTCTGAAGCCTTTTCTTCCTGTTGGTTCTTTTGCTTTTATGTTACCTTGTTGAATGTTCTTTGAGCCCTGTGTCTGAAAACTCAATCCCTGAACTGCAAAGGATCATTTGTTGTTGATTGAAACCTTACCATGGACCAGTTGTTGTGTTATATTTTTGACACACAACTCCAAGGAAGCAAGGCCTGGACTACGTACACATGCATATCTCCAAACCTTCAAGCCAAAACTAGCTTCAAACCTTCCATTTGCTCGCCTTCCTGCACTGCTGGCTGCCAGCTCGCTTGCTGTCGTCTGGCACAGCTCCAGTCAAAGGCAGGTCCCGCAGAGCTAAAACACCATGGCAGTGAAGGACAGATCGGGCCTGCGGCCGAAATCCCTCCAGATGATCCTGCGATACTCGCTTCTTTAACGCTGCCTTTCGCCTGCACATCGCTTGCTCTTGGCATATTTTGCGTTGCTCTCTGGCGCGCTCCCCCTAGTTCCCAGGGGTCGGCGGATAGTCAAAAATAACATTAACAATAATAAGAAAAGATAATAATACTATATGATGAAGCCCCTCCAGATGATCCTGCGACACTCGCGATTCTTTAACGCTGCCTTTCTCTTGCTCTTCGCATATTTTGCGTTGCTTCTCTGGCGCGCTCCCCCTAGTTCCCTGGGGTCGGCGGATATATATATATATATATACATATATATATACATATATATATACATATATATATATATGTATGACAGTTATATGACATTATATACTTATACAATCCTAGATACACATACACATTACTGGGGTATGTCCCAGATATGACTGGATTATAAATTCATAAATGGTATATACCAGCCATATATGGGATATATCCTGATTTCCCCTCCACTTTTGCTCCAATGCCAGGACGCAGAGGTTGACGCAACTGGCTGATTTCTGCAGTGGGCTCCATCCGGCCACCTTCTACGTTCATGGACGTGCGAGATGTCGTCGTGGACGGAAGCCTGCACTTTGGTGCGTGGTTAGCGCCCAAAGTCCCGAAAGGATGGCGGGATTGATTTAGGGGTTGGAATCCCATCTATTGGATTGTACTGATTGGATCTGGTATGGCTCGAAATTCCTGAAACTCCAAAGTGTGGGTCCATTGGTACAATATTTTTCCAGCCAGAGATTGATAGTTAATTTATTATATAATATGGGTTACAAAAAAGAGTCAGGATCAACAGGATCAACCCATTGGTAGAGGTGCTGAATGCTAGAATTTGGACCGGAGAACTTGGTGATTCTGATCGCCAATAGAGCTATATGGGCTACGAAGCGAATCAGTGTGTTGAGGTAGCACAAACAATTCTTGGTACCTCTCATTGCCAGTTGACTAAGGCTTACTTTCTCCCAGTAGATCTTTCAACTGCCGCGGAAGAAGTCGTTGAAGAACTTCAGAAACTGAGCTTTCTGGACCGGACCAAGGTGTTCGGATGGGCGGGAAATGAGAGGAGCTTTCATCCGAAAAAGGAGATGGGTAGTGGCTAGTGGTTTCAACGAGTTTTTTTCAATGCGAAAATTTTAAGATATCCCATATCCAAATGGACCACACTTGGTGCGGAGCACTGTGTTGGGATGGGTTGAAAGAAACAACTGGCCATCCACATGGCCCCCATGGAGAGGAATTCCGATTTCTGATGCAAAAACAAAGAAAGAGATCAACTAGAGAAGTTGCAGTAAAAATATTGAAACATGCCAGGTCTTTACAGGGTGGCACCAGCCTTTTACTAGCAACCAGAGTTTGCCGAAGGCCGAAGCAAGGTCAATGTGATTTGAAAGAGGATTCAGTAAAGATATTCCTAGATATCCCATGTTACACCCCCAAAAAAGATAGAAAGGTAATTCACCACTCTTTTGGCAAGTTGTTTTTACATTTCTCTCTGGGATTTGGTTCCAGGTGAAGTTCCATGTGTCAGTTGGTCGCCAAGAAGTACCTGAAATCCAAGCCTGGGATGGCACCATGGATCAACTGACTGTTTTGAAGCTAGCGCCTTGGAAGAACCGCGGAAAACCACGGCTTAGCCTTCTCCAACGCCTTTGTGTGGTGATAGGCGTTGGGTGATTAAATCTGGTTTTGGTAGATTTTACCTGTGGCAATCAAACGTGGAAATTTCAAATCACATTTTGCTTCAGAACAATGGTCTATGAATGGATGTACATCAACTAGGATTTTCGATTGACACGTTAGATTTCCAGTTGGATACAGCTAAGGATGGGAAGAAGACCAGGAACTTTGTGGAGTCCTGGGATTTTCGCTTCGGCGTAGATGCAGATCCCTTGGAGAAAAAGTTACGGGTTTGTCTGAAAAAATTAGAACCCCCAAATTCCACAGCTTAAAAATGGGCAGTTTGGGGATTCCCCTTTTTTTGGACGAACCACCATGCAGATTACGCAGACTATCCTGCCATGCCAGCTGGAGTGAGCCGCCTGCCTAGTGATATTCTTATTACCGCAGCTGGGACATTTCAGGGGCTCAGTCCCAACTACACTATGAACAGCCACCGATTTCTACTGGAACTTGTGCTGGACTGGGGCACAATACGCCAGCCTCTGAAACACCATCGTTCAACTGGATTTGTTTTAAAGATTAGGGGAGCTCCGCTTCCATCCCATGGTTGCGCGTCTTTTCCTGGGTAGAACGTGGTAACACATTATGTCTCTGTTGTATACCCCATGTTCAAGCACACCCAACTGTGTTTTCACAGCACGTCTCAACTGTTTTGCCCCCAGCATGTAGCCCCACCGCGCGGAGCACCGCACCTCATGGTTGCTGAAGATCCAGATGTCGAATCAGTTCCAGCTGCTGAAACGGCTGCAGTTGAAAGCGATGAGGCCGAGGTGCAAAAAAACAGTTTTGATCTTCTTTTCCAGTCACTGTCAGTTTGAGGAAAGAGGATCTGAATAAGTTCTGAACATATTTTTCAGATTGTTTTTCAAGATATCGCAAAGCCCTTGCCTCTCTGCGGCATGAAAGTTCCTATTGCCAGAAATTTACCTCCAGGTATAGGCCAAAGTTCCACCACCAGATTCCCAGCCCATGGAGGCCAGTCCACTGCTGCTGCCACAGCGTGGTCGAATTCGGCCACGGCGCACCGTCTTTCAACGACTCTCACAGGTACCCAGTGCTGCAGGTTGCAAGCACTTGGTTTCATGTCACTTCCATTTCAGTTCCAATCCCATATGCCGCACGACCACAGGTTCCACGGTCCAAGTTGAAAGCACGTTAAAAGAAGGGCCCGCCACTTCACGCCACTCAATTTCCAGGGTTTCCAGAGAGTTCTTGACTTCCAAGTGAGTTTCACCTGAAGATAGGGTACCCGGTTCGATCCATCCGTTCATCATGGTTCATCATGGTTCATCATGGTTCATCATGGTTCATCATGGTTCATCATGGTTCATCGTGGTTCATCATCAGCATCAGCATCAGCATCAGCATCAGCATCATCATCATCATCATGATCATCATCATCATCATCATCATCATCATCAGCATCAGCATCATCATCATCATCATCATCATCATCCTCATCTTCATCCTCATCCTCATCCTCATCCTCATCCTCATCCTCATCCTCATCCTCATCCTCATCCTCATCATGCCCATCCCCGTTATTTGATGGCCATCAATTGGGGGTATGTCATGGTAAGCCATGGCGAGGTGAATCGATGCCACTGGAAAGTGGGTGATCGTGTGCTAGCTGAGAACTCAGTGGCAGCTGGGGTTTGTCCCAAAATGGGGGCATACCTCCAAATAGCTATAATCCCTTCCCCTATTACTAAACGTCCCCCAAATACTAAAAACTAGGGTCCATCTCCAATTTTGGAAAATTTTCAGATTGGCCAATTTGACTTTTAATTGATCCCCTTTAGAAAACAATTCTTTAAAAAAAAACTACCATTTGTGGGTTTTGCACCCTAATAATAAAAACTAGTTAACCCCAGCGTGTTTATTATTAGGGTCCTTGATCCCAACCCCTGAATCCAAGCTGCCTGGCTGCTCTAGCTGAGCAATTTTTGGCTGACATGAGTCTGTCTTGCTGCCTGAAAGAGTGAAAGCCACCCCTCTGCCTTGCTGTCTGCAAGGTCTTTCTGAGCTGGCTGGAGTCTTGAATTTTTTAGATCCCATAAACACCTGTGTTGAAGGTTTCCCTTAATTTTGGGGGGTTAAAAGAAGAATTCAAGACTCCAGCCACTGTGCACACTGACTTCCTGGCTGACTGGCTGCCTTCGCTTGGACTGTATGTGTTCCCTTGCTGGCTGCCTGCTTCTGTCTGAGCTGGCTGGAGTCTTTAATTTATAGATCCCAGAAACATTTCATTAGGTTGTAAAGCTCCTTTGTTTTTATAGGGTTAAAGACTAATAACCATTAAAGACTCCAGCCAACTCTGCACTACGCCTGCCTAGTTTCTGTACTGTCTGCTCGCCTGCTACATCCCTGTGCAGCTGGCCTGGCTGACTTCTAGGCCTTGCCAGGTCCTGTCTGGACTGGCTGGAATCTTGAATTTATAAATCCCACAAGCAAACACTTATGTTGAGGGTTTCCTTAGTTTTAGGAGGTGGGACATTTATTGTATTAAAGATTCCAGCCAGCCTCTCTGCCTGCCTTTTTTTCTTTATTGTCTGCCTGCCTCAGCTGCATCCCTGTGCCACTGGGCTGGCTGACTTCCAGGCTCTGGCTGCCTGCCTCACTCGCCATCTGGGTGCCTGGCCTGGACTTCTGGCTGCAACTGGAGGCTCTGGCTCTTCAAGCTCCTCTGTCGCAGCAACAATCTGTTGCTCTTCTGCCTCTTCTGCTGCTTCCTGCTTCTGCTCAGCCTGCTTCTTCCTGGCTCGCTTCCTGACCTTCTGCTGCAAGGCTCGTTCCTGTCTCACTGTGCTGACCAGCATCTTGCCTGGAGGAGGCTTCAGCCAGACAGGAATCTGGTCACTGAAAGTCAACGCTGTCTGCTTCCTATGCACAAACCAAGCCTCTCTGTCTCTGACTGGAAAGTCTTCCTACACAACTGGCTGAGCTGCCTTGTAAGGCTGACTGTCGTAGTGCCTCCAAGCTGCCTGCATTCTGTTCTTCAGCTCCTCCTGGCTGATGGTCTGAATCTGTTGGCAGGCTCTCTCTCTCTCTCAGCCCAGCTCTGGCTGCCAGCTTGTTTGCCTCTTTGTCCCGCTGTTTCTTTTTGCACTGCAGTGTCTGAAGCTTCTGTCTCCATGCCTGGAGCTCCTGGAGCTGTGCTGCTGACAACTGCTCCTCTGTCTCTCTCTGCTCTATGGCCTGCTGCAGCCTGTGCTCATAGTCCCTGACTAGGTCTTTGAGACTCATCATATGTTGCTGGCTCTCTTCGTGCTGAGCTGACAAGACTGTGGCCATCCAAGCCACTCGGCATCTGTCTTTGCGACCTAGCTAGTTGCCTTTCTGTGCCACGCGACTGCCTTGGGCCTTGCTGGTCAGCTTGTCCATGCTTAAGTGGCTGCCTTGTCTTCTCAAACCTTGCTTGCCTACCAGTCTCTGGCCCACAAACTCCTTGAGCTGAGCCAGTGCATCTGTCTTCTCCAAGTTGCTGACTGCTGTCATGCTCAACCCGTATTTCTCTCCTGTGATCTACTTGCTCAAGCCGGAAAGCTCTTCGTGGAGCTTCAACTTGGCTTGTGCTGTTGGGTCAGCTCGCTGCTTTCTGACTCCAGGCGCGTGCTTTTTCTGCTTCCTCCCTGAACCTTTGGGCCTGCCTCCCTTGCTGTTCTTTGGTGGCAGCACTACTGCTGCACTGTCTTCAGCTGACCCTACACTGACCAGAGCTTGCTGCTGTGCTGGACTCAGAGGCTGCACTGGCTGCCTGGCTATCTACTCATTGGAAGAACCAAACATGTTATCCAAACGATAGTACTTGGTGACTGAGCTGCCTGGACTCGAGGACTGTCTCTTCTGCCCCCTGTCTGGGGTATTAGCTGCCTGCCTCAGCTCATTTGACAAGCTTCTCCTGAGTGACAAGCTCTCTGCCTGCTTTCTCCTCTTTGCCATCCTGGCCCTGTCCCTTCCCATCGCTTTCCATCACGCTGGCTGTATCTGCTCTACTTTTCTGACTGGAGCAGAAGGACGGGACATGAAAGCAATGCTGCAGAACAAAAAAGAATCCAAGCAAATACATATACATATATATATATATAATATGTCCATATACAATAGTAATTATTAAAACAAATCTGCTTATTCAACTTGTGTATATATAATTGTATATATACATCTATCTATCTATCATCTAATCTAGCTATCTAGCTATTCTATCTAGCTATCTAGCTATCTAGCTATCTATATCTAGCTATCTAGTATCTAGCTATCTAGCTATCTATCTATCTATCTATCTATCTATCTAATTATCCATCTATCGATCCGGCTGCACCACTGATTCCAAAGCTGCAACTCTCTGACTGCTGCCACAAACTGCTCTAATTGGACCGTCTCCCTTCCCCATTCTTCAGCCAAGCTGCTGCCTGAACTGCCAAAGCTGCAAGCGCTGCCTGCACTTCCTGCTGACCTGGCTCTGCCTGCACCGCTGGCTGCTGCTCTGCTTGCACAACTGGCTGCTTAGCTGCCTGCATAGCTCTAGTTGTCTTACCTGTGTCAGTTCGCGTGCGGAGACCTGCCTGGCTAGCTGCCTAGCTGTTTGCTTGAACCAACAAGCAATGGAAGCTGCCTGTCTGTGGACCTGACCCGCTGGATGCTGGATAATTACTGATTCTAACTATCTGCCTCATGAACCCCCTACTGTCAACACATGATTACTACATATACAAGTATAATTGATTACATATATATATATATATAATTATATATACACATATATATATATATGTATAGATATCTTTATATAATGAATAATTAACATGAATTCGACTTTGGTTCCCTACTAGTAAATACAACCCTAACTAAAAAACTACCTGAGGTGTTTATTAATAGGGGCTGGGGGCGTTTAGTATTAGGGGGAAAGGATTAATCAGCTAGTCTAATGATGATAATTCATGATAACCCACTGGATGGGTGATGGGTTAACCCCCAAATTTCAGGTACCAAACCCATCTGCTTTCTGCATCCAATGACCAAGGTTCGAGACCGAGACGAGAAGGACCGCGGGGACGTCAGCAGGCGAGAATTTTGTTTGATGATGCGGGGATGGGTCAAGTTAGTGGGATATGGCCAAACATATCAACAAAAATTAGATGATACTCCAAGGATTTTGATGGATCTTGAAAGGACATATAAAAGTAGAAGAAATGACCAGCATCGGATAATATTTGTGGTATGTGGGGCTAGATTCTTGGCCTGTACAGCTTGCATTTGCGCTTCAGGCCCAGTGAAGATGACTGGAACCCTGGCATTGTGACATCACTTCATCCTGTGAAGGCAGGGACTAGGTTTGCTGCAGTGAACTCCATCAAAGTCATCAACTGGATAGTTTCTATGTGATTGAACTTCAAACTGTTCACTTGATGTTCCTTCCAAAAAATCGGGATTATTAATCAACCATTCATCAACCATTGATGAGCCCTTGATGAACCATGGATGAAACTGAGCCCAATGGTGAATGGGATTCTCTGCTCCGCTGGCTGTGCTGGTGCAGGTCCGCCTGAAAGGAGGGCAAGAGTCTTTCACATGGAAGGAGATCAAGGACGCGACATGCTAACGAGCAAACCTTGGCACCGAGGGACCACATCTTCAAACCCTTTCTATCCAATATTATCCAGTACAACCCGTTCACCCCCAAAGTTCGACGTTGATGTGGCTTGAGGATACTTGAGGTGCGTTAGCTCCAATGGACATAATTATCGACCCCCTAACGTCACTTTTGCTGATGCCCGTTGAAATGTTTAGATTTTGGGGTGGGGGGTTCAACACAGAGTCTGTTGCAAGGTTTGAACAATTTGCCCATCGAATTACAGTAGGGATGAGTCATCCCACTTGACCAGGTTACATTCATGATCTGATCAGCTGAAACCGGTAAAAAAGGAGAATGATCATGGCATATTTGTTGCTAATTCATTCCTAAGATACTGCAACGTCAAGCCAGGTCCCCTTAAATATAGTGATAGTGATAGTGATAGCAGTGATAACTTCTAAAATGATATGGCCCCAACGATCAACATCTAGGAGCTGCCAAAGAGCAGATCCGCTTCAGCAAGTCCCTCCTCCACGTAACTTGAAGTTTTCGTTGGAAGGTGGCCGGGTGTCAGAGGTTGGTGGACGATGTTACCAACCTCTTACCTTACCAGCACAATGTTATCTTAACAGTTGGACGCTTGATTGATCTGGTAAGAGGATGATATGATATCAATACTGCTATCGCCATTGTCAGCTGAGGTGGTCCACCAAGTTTCTCCCTGCGAGTGCTGAGGTGCCTGACAGAATCTGTATGGTGAATAGCCATAAACATGAACTCATGTGAATCTTGATGGGGAATGGCAATCCATGGGAGTGGCTCAAAATTGTTCACATCTTTGCGCATGGCAGTCCGTTATGGGAACGACTCACAATCACGTAAGTTTATGCCCCCAGAAGTGGATGGGGAAATACACAAGCAATGACCACTTTATGTCCAAACAGGTATCCCAATTGAGCTGGCCATAGCCAAGTCATCATCACTGGTGAATGATGAACATTGCCATCATCTGAGCCCCACTGTCGCACCTAACCACCTGTTTGTTCCCTGTTTCTTGGGCAACTAGGGTTTCCGATCAAGATGTTCCCTTAAACCAATCCATTGACATTACTGTACATTGATTGAATCATCATGAACCGATCAGCCTGATTACCAGGTGCTGAGACGTGCCCGCAAGCTCTCCAGACGGCGACGCAAGCGAGAAAAGGCACACCTTACAGTGGGCATAGAACATTCATGAACATTGCAGGTTTGATTTATTTTGATCCATGATGTACCAATTTCACAACCTTTTATGGGTACATATGGATACATATGGATGCATATATCACACATGGCCATATGGCAAGTTCCCAGCTTTCACATCTTGGTGCGAGGAGGCTGAGCGGAAGGAAATGGAACTGTGGGCCAGGGCACAGAGAATCCAATGCGCAAAACTCAGGAGCCTGATGGGGTATGTCTGATTGTGTCTTATCGTGTTTTGGCATAGCTAATTTTGAGTTTCAGACATCATGTCATGGAGGGTTTTGGAGGACTCTCAAGACGATCCTCTGCTCAGAACATGGTCTTTCGTCCGGCAGGAACGCTGGTAGCCTGCCAAATGCAGCAAAGCACCAAGAAGAGAAACAGGCGAAGGTCGCCATCTCCCAACTTGAAATCGTACTGTCCATTAAATCACTCAATGAATTCAATGAATTCATGAGAAATGAATATCAAAGACACTTATTAGAGTATGGAGTGTTTCACTTGTTTCACTCATTCCAAATCCTTTTGGTGCCCAGCGGTTCCAATCCTGTGGCCGGTGCAGGTGCGGAACCTTCGCCTGGCTTTGGAACAGCTGCTGCCAGGGCTGGATGAAGTGGAGGCGAAGGAGACGAGTCGACCGGCGCGGAGAGCGACCAGCCCGGGGCGCGCAAGAGCGGCCCGGCCCTTTGGTGTGGGGCCCAAGTTTTCAGTTTTTCTGCAAATTTCTCAGGGAGATCGCGCTGTAGTATCAAGATGTGTCAAGAATCTCTGAGTCCAGAGGTCTTGTGTGCTCAGGTTTCCTGAAGTGACAGAAGAGATAAATTGCTGGGTGATTTCAAATATGTTTTCTATAGTATTTCTATGCTTTCTATGTTTTTGCCCATGGGGATGATGATTCCCCATGACCAACCACCAAGCAGACTTTGCAGCTGACGAAACAGCGCACTAAGGCCCGAGCATTTCAGCTTTGAAGGTGCTGAAGTTGAGCAAAGACTTGAAAGGCCAGGTGTGCTGCTCCCCAGCTGATCTCACATGACCGGCATGGGCCAATGGGATGTTAAAGACATTACTTCTTGACAGCTTGGGGATGGAGGCTGCCCACATTCGCCACGTACAGTCTACAAAATTTGCTTCGGGAGTTTGCTTCCACGTGTTTGTTTGCTAATACAAAACGTGAAACACTTCTCAGACATTGCGATTGCCAACCGGCGCAGAATGGGGCAAGACCAACACCTCAAGAGACAGCTTCCACCTCAAACATTTGCAGCTGCTGACTGTCCAGGAGCCTTCCTTGCGCATTGATACAAAATGCTTTCAGCTGCGGGCAGCAAATTTTTGCACGTTCTGCGCTCCAGGACAAAAAAGATGTTCTGAAGAAGCTTTCGCATCCACGTCCAGAACAGGCTGTCCAAGAAGATGCATTTTTTGCGCCTCTCGGCATGGAGAGGGCATGATTGCAAGTATTTGATGCCGAATCTGTGCTCGCGTTGCCAGTTGTAGTTGATATGCGGACAGCTTAGGTGGATCAACCAACAGCTTCAGCACATTCGAATGTATTGTTCCTCTGGCGAGCTGAGCTGGCATGTTTTGCGGAGAAGAGACCGTCCTTGTAGGTAGTGACAGACGGGCTAATATGGATATGCATGGCTGTTCTCAGGCACTGTCAGGCTACAACTTGTTGAATGACAGTGTTGGATGTTCGTTGAAGAACACCTCCGTTTCCACAACATTTCACTTGCATGAAGTGCGTGCATCATGCAACCCTATTGACATGTGAGAGACTCTTCTGATGCTCCGGTCTTTTTGTCTTTTCAGATAGATGATAGATGGCTTGCGCTTTGGAAGGGTCCATGGCATGAGCATTGCAGAGTGCTGTGGATCGAGAATCAGTCTTGGAGTCATTCTTCAGCATATATCAAGTATCCAAAGCAGTTCTATATCACTTGTGAATAGCAAATCTCAATGATCAATTGTCCACTATCAAGTATCCTGTGCATAAGTATCATAAGCTGATCTCCATCATTTTCTCTCCATGGTTCCGTTCCTGGAGTTCCGCCAGGCTGCCTCAGGTGGCAACAGCAAGCACAAGCGCCATGTCGATCTTGAATGCTCTCAGGGTCTGCATTGACAAATCTGCTCCCAATGAAGATGACAGTCAGAGCCTGGAGAGGTCCGCTGCCAGCAACGGATGCGATGGTGTTCCGAGCTAACACATGCTGGCCATATTTTTTCTGGAGGATGACCGCAAATGACATGTAAACATGAAACCGGGCTGAGTGTGGCCGACTAGTTGACTAGTTATTTTATCAGCATTTTTTGATTTTATCAGCACAAAACACAAAGGCTTTTAATTGGAGGTTGATAAACCAGTGGATTTACAGGTATCCTATTTTCAGACCAACATAGACCAACCCAAACACACGACATGGCACAACTGTCTGACAGGTTTGTTGAAGAACTGCAGCAGAAGAATCTCAGACTCGAGCACTTGGAGCGACTCCCACAAGGGGAACTCAAGCGCTTGGTGGAAGCTGGGCTGCTATCCATCGAATTTCGGGTACTAAGACTAGCATCGAAGACGTCAGTGGAATATGTGAAACGGGATTGCAGCCATGCAGTTATCCATAGGTTTCTGTTGTAATTCTCTTGAAAACATACCTATAAACCAGTTGAAACGCAAAGCACTTCGTCCTTATTATGTATCTGTTGTGCGATCCCTCTGTACCTTCCTACTCACTTCGAACTGCTAAGGAAAAACTTGGCACTAAGATGACTGGCATGACGAAGGCCGTTTTTGTACATACACGTACTTTTTTCTGACTTTTCTCTGGTATTTATTGTTCTTGAAAGGATGAACCACTGATAAACGCGGATATAGTGGATGCTACGTACCCTTCCATCGCTCGTCGTTGAAGCACTGCCACAACGTGAAAGACCAGCCAGGAATGAAGCAATTCAGGAGACAAACCCTAAATTTAATAGTGTCTCACCATGTCTCAACTGTTTTCATTGATTTTCCCTAGATGGCCATTTGGGGTTCAGACCCATCAAAAACATCACAGTCATCGGCTGGCTCCGTGTAGGAGGAAACCATTCAGAAGCTGAAAACGGAGCTCTGGTCCTCTCGAACAAAATCCTCCGCAGTTCGATCCAGCCATGCTGGGCTTTTTCGCTATGAGCCAGCAGAGGCCGAAGATCGGCAAAGCTGGGTCGAGATCGCTATTAGGTTTCAATTTACAACACACAGAGAATGGATAGGATGGATAGGTCTAAAGATCAAACGCATCTGTGTGCTTTATAGAGATTCCAAGTGCTTGGAAGGCGATTGCGTCGGTGCGCCGTTTGTTGAAGAAAGCAGAGGACCCGACAAAGCTGCACAGCGATAACACGACGTTTTGTTTTCCATGGTAGCTAACTGATTGCCCGAGACCAGAATGGTTTGACACCCTCCATTTTTATTCCCTTGGAGATGGGGATGGGTCAAAACCTATTATTACCATATTTGGAAGAATCAACATCCATTAACCAGCTATTTTAGGTACCATCCGGGTGCCAGGGTTTTGACTCACAACCAGATGATTGTTCAGAACAGAGAACTGTGACAGTTCCTGTGGCTGTGGTGACAGGAGGAAAGAGATACCAGGTCCATGACAGTTTGGGAGTTGCACCAATGGCTTGGTCAATACAATGCACGCGTGAAAGACCTGAGCTCCTTGGCGGCATCATCACGTTGCTAATTGACATGGCCATTTAAGTGGGTACACATATTTTGAGACACATCCATTTGGATCATTGATGATCATTGGTCATTGGATTGGTATTTTTATTGGTGACAAATCACTGTTTCTCATGGTTATTTGATGTTTAAACAGTTTAAATCATCTGAACAATCACCAGTTTCGATCATTTGGATCTTCCAACCAGCAGTATTCCACCATTTCCACCCCCACGACCAGGTTGCCTCCTTCCAGCGGAGCTCCGGCAACTCACGTCGTGGTTGAAGATGCCGCCACTCAGGTGATTTTTTGGATCTGGCCATGGCTGGGCTTTTTTGTGGAGCTGCTGAAATGGATGACATGCTGTTGCTGTTTGGCATTTCTGGGCCATTTGATGGCAATGTCATGCATCCTCAGATTCCGTTGATGAGTGACATAAGAAGCTCGCTCAACGAACTACGAAACTCACAGAATGGCAAGTTAGAATGTCGAGATGCATGAACCAGTGCATAGAAGAGGATACTGATGGTACTGTAGAAGGTGAAGGTTGCTCTCTTGATCGAGCTTTCTTGAGACACATCACCTACTCACACACACACATGATACTTTTTTGCTTTAAGTTCTGTCTAGATATATGTTAAATCGGAGCATGCATATATAATATAATATAATATAATATAATATGATATGATATGATATAATCTAATATAATGTAATGTAGTGTAATGTAATGTAATGTATATAATGTAATGTAATATAATATGATATATATAATATACTATGATATGATATGATATGATATAATATGATATAACATAACATAATATAATATGATATAATATAACATAATATAATATAATATGTTATCATATCAATATGATATGATATGATATGAAATGATATAACATAAAACAATTATAATTGAATTATAATATAATATATTTATAAAGCTCCGCAGTTAGAAATTCAGTGGCTAAGTCTCGAGTGTTCTGTCCTTGGTGCAGGTCCAAAGAAGACATCTTGGAGTGGCTTCAACGAGAGGTTTGGAGGGAGCAGACGCTACGGCGAGCGCCTTGGAAAACTTCGAGGTTTTTAAAGGCACGGCGGGTGAACCACGGTGAACCACACGGGATGATACGGGATGATACCCAGAAATCCCTGATGGTAGGGGCCCCATGTACCATGTACCATGACCATGGCAAACATTGAATACAGAGATTGTCAGCATATCATTGGAGAGAATCTGGGTTATTAACGGCACTGTGGAGAAGCAAATGTAGTCAGTCCTTCCCAAAAAGAAACATACGGAAAGACCGACCAAATCTTTTTCGAGAAAAGGCAGATATGAACAGCTGAGGTGAGGTCGGAGGAGGAGTACGAAGACGATGAAGATGGAATGCTGCTGGTGGACTTAAATAGTCCACTGACCATGGAGTACGACATGTTCGTGCCAGCATAGAAAGTTCATGAAAGCTCATAGTCCCTTCAAGAGGAAGGATGCAATTTCGTAAGCTCACCTTGCATGAGTTACTCGAGTTACTTGCGCTGAAATCAGTGCAGAAAAAGATCGCATCAACTCCACCAAGCATCATAGCACTCTGGGCAAAGTATAAGGAGCTCACAGCGACCTCGCAAGAAATTATGCTTATGAAGGGGAGCGACTTCAGAATCCTCCTGTCAGGTTTGCAAATTGTTGTAATTTGCCCAGATCAATACAGACTCTCAATGCAACAACTTGAAGACATGTGAAACACGAGCATTTGCACAAACTCATGCGACCTGTCCGTTGACATCGACGTGCAACGTTGCAGGTCTTCTCGTCTTTTCGTTTGGCGATATCTCTGCAACTCATCTGACATCCTGGGATTGAGTGCTGCGATACCCTGCCCTTACTTGTGCCAGTGGACTGCTGGTCACTTATGGTGATAGGATCGTTGGCTGATCGCCCAATATCCCTATCCTCTTGCTATTCTGATCGGTGAATTATAAGTTACAAAAAAATAATCCCATCGCAATATGTTTTTTTTTGTAATCTCCAATAAACTAGTGAGTATAATGGGAATCATTAAGGTTTATATTGGATAATAAACCTATAATTGGATAATATATACTGGCGAGTATAACCTCCTGTATCCAACCAGTGTTTCACATTAAGATGGGAATCAAGGCGAAGCCGAGCCGGGTTTGTGACGCCGACCGACGTCACAAACCCAGGGAAGCGGATGGGTTAAGCTGCGGGCCCTTTTTATTGGGGAATGAACATTCATTTAGCACCAATTTTGGGGGTGAACAGAAGGTTACATAGCCTAATAAAGATCTTTGCTAGAAAGATCAGAACCAAGGTTTTTTTTGGGGGGGGTACCTGATTTGACATCATGCTGATTGTATCAGATTGTCCACCAAACATGGACTGTTTGGTGATTCAGAGTTGCAACGCTGGGCTTCTCATGGCTCAAGATTGTAGGTCCTTTAGATCAGACATTATTCACAGAGGACAAGCATGAATCAATAACGGAAGCTTTGTAAGAAAAACAAAAACACATTAAAAGTAGTACCCAGCACCGCCTGAAGCACCAACAATTTTCTGGAAGCACAGTATCACAGCATCATCAGCAACACCGCGGAAAGCCATTCTTCTTCAAACGGCACCAAAGCAACAGAAGCAGAGATATAACTTGAAGCCATTTGACGCCATTTGAAGCCACTTCAGTGATTCTTCAAAGAACTTGAGGGCTTTCAGTTGCCATTGCTTTCCCGCGCAGATGAGCAAGTCGTTCCAAGCTCCGCGAGCCTAGCCAGTCCACTACTCTGTGGGGGCTGCAGAGGTGCAGCTGTTCGTAGAAAGTTTCGGGATGAGTCAAGAATCAGTTCATGACATGTGCCTTGCTTCTGACATCTTCTGACCTTTCGGTCAGGTCTTTCTGTGTGCTTTTTTCCCTTCCAAAGTTTGCACATACGTTTCGAATGGAACTTTTGCTATACTTTGATTTCGACGAAGATTATGATAGTCAGCATTATAACAAGAAGAATAGTAACACTTACTATACGCTATATACGAATATATATAGTTATATATTATATATATACGAATATATATATATATATAATATTATAATCAAAACAATCTTGTTATAACATTGATCAGTCGACAGTTGACACAGGCCATGGACCCTGGGCTTCTGGGAGCTCTTGGGGCCCTCTTGAGCGGTGCAAACCGCGAGGGCGATGGGGGCCCTGGGGGCGGTCCCGGCATGGGATCCATCGCCATTTTGACGGTGCCTGGTCGAGGGATCGTTGGCACTGCCATCACTCCAAACGGACCCGGGAAAAAGGGATTTTTCATGGTGAGCTCATGTGAAATACGATGGTTTTTGGCACCTGAAATATGATGACATCACATAAAATCATATAAATTCCACTGAAAAACAACATTGGGATAGATGGTGATAGACTTAGACGCATTCCAGATAGATAGATGACCCAGATTCTAAGCACCGTTTGGCTCTAAAATAGAACGCACTAAGCCGAAATGTTTGGCGAAAACAGCGCAGCAAACCTGATACAATCTTTCCGAAGAGTTTAGCAAAAACAACGCAACAATCCGGAAACAATCAAAACGACTTTGGACATCTTTGGAAGATCTGAACCATTTCTTGATGATCATCACCTGATTCCAGTGCCACTGGCCATCATTTGGATTCGGAGTTGGATCTTTTTGCAGGACAAGATGGAGCTTTTCCTTTGCCAATTGGTCTCCTCCAGAACTTGGGTGGCGAAGTCTCCAGGCCAGAAATCATGGAAAAACCCACAGATGTTCCCTTGAATCCATTGAAGCCATTGAACATCCGGAGTTTAAACATATTTTTCCAAAATTTCCCATGGGTTAATCAGAAATTGGAATCTTCTGGACATATGTTGTTTCCTTTCTTTTAAGGGGGCTTAACTTTTTTGAGCAAATCCAAGATGAAACGACGCTGTGGCCAGGCTCCCGCTATCTCGAGAAGAGGATGCTGCCGCGGCTTTAGGCCAGGATGCAGCCTTCAAGATGCCTGGTTTTCTTGCATCTTACGGGATCATTTTGCCATATTTTGCCCTGACACTTAATGGTGATCTTCCTTGATCTTCCTTGCAGGTGGAATTATGACTATGATGATGGAGCAGATGACCCGTGTTGCAATGCAACGCAGCATGGAGGAACAGGCCCCTAAGATTCCGCCAGCCAGCGAAAGAGTCCGCGATGCACTGCCTCGAGTTGTTGTGACGAAGGAGCACTGGCAGTGGAAAATTTCGCTGTTCAATGCTGTGAATAGTGGAACATAGTGGAACCACAAAGCTTCTACCTTGTCACATGACACTCTGGCTCAGAGTTATGATCAAAATCTTGAACGGTTTGCACGCTTGAATCTGCCGTGAGCATGACGCATGATTGATGCCACAAGACAACCTGTGAGTCACTGACCGTACCGAACAGCTCACAGCTCACAGTGCGGTGTGTCATTCGCCAGGAGGATTTGCTGGACTCAACCAATTCCAAGTGTTCGGTTTGTTTGGAAGATTTTCAGCCGGGCTCCCGAGCAACGCGGCCTCACCGCCATGTTGCCAACTGCATTTGATCACTGCATTTCTCAGGGATTCAACATCACAATTGGATCAACAAGCTACTGGAGATGAGCTTCCCAAAGATGGGTTATATTTAATACTTATATATATATATATGTATATATGTATATATGTATATATGTATATATGTATATATGTATATATGTATATATGTATATATGTATATATGTATATATATGTATATATATATATGTACATGTATATATGTATATATATGTATATGTATATGTATGTATATATGTATGTATATATATATATGTGTATGTGTATGTGTATGTATATGTATATGTACATGTACATGTATATGTATATGTATATGTATATGTATATGTATATGTATATCTACATGTACATGTACATGTACATGTATATGTATATATATATATACAGGATCCTGGTTGTAGTACTGTAGTGGTTGTAGTTGCATTTTTTTCATCCTTGGCCGTCCCAGGGATCACCCCTGGCCCTTGGGCCCTCGTGGCAGGATGCTGTGTGGCCACCTCTTCTGTACCATGTGCATTCGAGAGTGGCTCCGCGAGGCCAATAGCTGCCCTGCGACTTGGAGCGATTTGGGCAACGGCCAAAACGGCCCAGTTGGGTGTGGATTTTACCATGGGCTGATTCGAGGTTTAGCTGTGAGCTGATCATTATTTTCTGGCCCATAGCAGTGAAGCGTGCAGTGTACGCCGCTCAGATGTCTTGGCAACTCACAGAATAAACTAAGGTGTGCAGATATGAGCTTGCAACAGATAATGAGGAGTTTGAATCCGGGAGTGTCTTGGCTGGTGAGTATTACACAGCATCTATATAGATGCACAAAAACCTTATGGAGTCACCCCACAGAGCCGGCCATGTTGCGCATTTGACCGATGTGCCTCAGTATTGCGATCAGGAAAGTTGATCAGAACTCCACACATCTCAGAGCTGGGTTAGACTGTCAGACTTGGCTATTCATTTCATGGGCAATGACCGTTGATTTTTTACATTGGTTTTTGTTCATGTCTGTTCCTCCCTTTGCCTACTACGTGTTACTACCTGCTTTGCAGAGGATTATGATCAACCACTCTGATGTCCTACTAACCATTATTACGGTTTATATTGACAAGCAGCAAGCATTATGAAATATTTACGTACAAATATGGAAACGTATTAACCATCATGAACATGTATAAACCATTGTCAAGCATACGATTATGATCCATCTCCATTCTCAACCGACATTTAAACCACTGACATTTCATATCCATCATATTCCTTGTATCCATCATTCACCATCTGAATCTACCGGTACTCCCCATAGTTTTTCTCCCCGGCCACGGCCTCCCCGGTCACAGGACGGTCCCGCATGGCCGGGCGCCAGATCCGCTTGAAGCGCGCGGAGCTGCGCCTCCTGCGGATCTCGGAGCTGCGGCGGCTGATGGACGCCTTGGGCATTTCGGGCGAAGGTCACCCGGTCACAAACCCGGGCGGTGAAGGCGGTGACGGTCACGGCTTGTTTCATGGGGATTCAAGAAAATGGGGATGGATCAAAACCCTGGTACCCCTGGTGAACCCCAAAATAGCTGGTAAATGGATGTTCATCCCATTAAAAATGGTATTAATAGGTATTGATCCATACCCAAATCTTCGGGGTTTAGCCAGTAACCACGGGGTTGATGACATTTTTTTCACATCTTAAAGGATCTTAAAGGGATATATATTTATCAATTGTGCGTGGTTTATGAATGGATATTTTCATGGTGTTTTGGTGTAACAAAGACATGGGGATGCAATTGATGAACGGTGATTGTATGGGGTTATACTAGCTGGATCTAGCTGCTTTATTGGTAATTACTGGTAGTGATTACACTGATACCTATGGACCAACCAGTACAGTGGGATGGGATGGGATAGTGGTATTTTTCATGGCTCAATTGGATGTGGTTAGGCTGAAGAGATCTGGGTGTGCTTGAAAATTGGGTAGACCTGACACAAGTTCCACCTAACGCTTAGAGGCATGAACAATCTGCTGTAACTGTCTCCCTGTTGTGCTTGGATTTGTTGATCTCTTGCTCTAACTTCTCGGTTGCCATCCTGGCCCGTCTTCTTTTGGATGTCCTTGTCTTTGTCCTTGTCCAACTGGAGTTTGTTGTGGAACTTTGATGGCCAATGAACTAATCTTAAGCTGGAGTGCCTTCCATACTTGGCAGAGTTGAAACTTGAAACCATATGAAAACAGCATATTCGAGCATGTTGTTCCTCAATCACGCGGTAGTCATCATGTTGCTGAAACTATTTGGAAGGCAACTGGGTCGTCTCCCGATGGGGATTCCCCACCCCAGGATGCCTTGAGAAGGCAGAACTTTTGCGGCACCTCGAAGTGGCTCCTGATATCGTGGTGGAAGAAGAAAATACCGGCGCCACGATTTATGAGAAAGAGGAGCCGTGGAGAGTGGTTTCAACATGTTTCACACCCAATTTTTCACACTGTTTTTTTAAACATGTTTTTAGTCAAACAAATCGTATCGACAGTACTACTTTTCCCCATGTCTTCATGTTTTTACTGTTTTTTTAATGGGGGTATCCGATGACAGAGCCAGGAGCTGCTGACTTTGGATATGCCTTTGCTGCGCAACCTTTTAGAGCGCCACAAGGTGCCATATTCCATCGACGATGATGTGTCTGAAGAGGAGGAACGCTCGGTGGCCTTGAAGTCCTTCGCGGAGTTCGGGTGGATGAAGGGTAGCAAGGAACGACCAAGCGCTGCGAAGGATCACGAGCTTCAAAGCGAGAAGCTTTCGGCCAGGGAGAACGTCAAAAGCACAGATAGCGAAGATCCAGGCAGCTCTCAGAATGCTGAGAAAGAGGTCGTGAAGCCAAATTCTGAGCAAAAAGAGGAGGCAAAAGAGGAGAAAGAGAAGGAAGAGAAAGCAGAAAAAGAGAAAGAAGAGAAAGAAGAGAAAGAAAAGAAAGAAGAGAAAGAAGAGAACGAGAAAAAAGAAAGTACAGAAAAAGATGAACAAGATCAAGAGGAAGTGGACCACCGAGAGAAGGGAGAAACTCCTGATACCGAGAGTGGGTCACAGAGTGCAACTTCCTCAGGTCCTCTTGGGAAATCCGACCGCCTTAGTGGCTGTTTCTTTCATTGGCCTAGGTCCGAGGAGATATCTCAATCATTTTCAATCTGTCCATTTCATGGGTAAACCAACCTTTCTGGTCCATTTCAAGGAACCGGTTGAGATCACGATGTCACCTTGGGACGTAGAAACGACAACATCCCGGTGTGGGGCATCATCCCTGGTCCAAAAGCTGCAGCTTGGTGACTTGGTGATGAATAAGATTCATCATCCAAGGGAGAAGACCAGGGATTTCCATAGCTGATCCATGAATGTTTACTGGGGATCCATTAATCCCATCCAATGTTCAACAACCCCATAGACTATGGTCCCAAATATGTGGCACGTCATCCCCGAGTAAACCATGGCTTCTGGATCTTTCCGGGGTGTTAAAAAAAACTGGAAACAGATTCATGCGATTCATACAGTCAATATTAGGGCTGATTAATCCCATAGTAAGCCAACTGATTATTGGAATTATCTGGATTTATCAATTTATCCTCATTTTATGGATCATTTTTTGGGGGATCGTTGGGAGAATGACGATAAAACCCATGGGATCTTGAAGGGATTCATGGATCATATTCCCAACAAAAACACTGTTTTGTTTTCTCCACTTGTATATATTCCCAATTATTCCCAATGGATTCTTCCTAATTATACACTAATTCTTGGATCCAAATTATGATGAGTAGTAATGATAATGATGATCATGATTTACCGTTGGGAAAATGATGATTGAACATAATAACAATAACATATAACAACAATCACAGTAACAAAGATAGATGATCATCATATCAACAATAATGATAATCATAATCTTAATATGGGTATGGATCAATACCTATTAATACCATTTTTAGTGGGATGAACATCCATTTACCAGCTATTTTGATGTTCACCAGGGGTACAAGGTTTTGACACACTGCCATATATCTTTATAACTTTAATAACGATAATGAGTGGATCCAAACGGTCCAAATTTTCATCCCACATTGCCAGGCCGGCCCCGGCCCCTGCGGCCCGTCGGGCCCGCGCCCGCCACGCGGCGGCCGCTGCGGAGCCGCAGCGGCGCAGGCCTGGGCCCAACGATGAGTGAGGCCGGCCAGTGAGGCCAGTGAGGCCAGTGATTTGCTATAAGGCTATGGACCAATACCTATAGATACAATTTGTTAGGGGATGAACATTCATTTACCAGCTGTTTTGAGGAGGTGCCAGGGTTTTGACCCATGCCCATAAACTTCACAAACAAATAGGTGATTTATAGTGATTTGACATGCTTCAAACATGAAAAGTCAGCATGAAAAAATATGGGAATCACTAGAAAAAAAGGTTTTGGCCATGAACACATGGATGTAAGCATATAAATGACCATGAAAACATAGAAATTAGTCAGCACACATTGGAATTTATTTTCTGAATAATGGGATAATCATGGGATCTTGACGGGATATCAATGGGTTGTACAATCAGACAAAAACGGAGCATAACACCAAACATATTTATTTATATTTATTGAGCACATCAGGCATATACATCCAACAAGGTGGAAAGAAACAAGATGAAGAAAGATGAACAGAAGAATATCATCATCTAAACTTACTTTATTGTTGCCTACATTGATGATTCGGTGAATGTAGAACTATGTAGAACTACTGATCGCTTTGATGCAGGATGCAGGTGATGTCTTATGGATCAAATTCATAGATTGATACTGTCGGAGATACTGAGGAGAATTGTAGAGATGGTTGAGGACCCTGACCTCACTTTCCGAGCCGGGATTGCGGCTTCAATATGATTTTCAACTCCCAGCCTCACAGCATGGTCCAACATTTTCTATAGCCGACTTTAACTGTGAAGATCGAATTGAATTATGAAACAATTATCGACTCATCCCAATAGATGAAACAAGATGAAGCACATTCATGATGTGAGGCTGGCACCTGACAGATCTTTTCACGCCGGCTGTCCCATGTTTTTTTCTCCACTGGAGAAGCTTAGGGACCAAGGATGGGTCCATCTCAAGGCTGGACGCTTTAGCCGGCAATGCACAGATGGGGCCGTTGAAATGGTGGATTTGGGGCTCCGGTGGTGACAGTATTTGTACGCCCAGACAGCTCATCTCGCCCAACATCACTTTGAGGTTTTAGGGTTTAGTTAGGGTTTTAGGGCTGTATGTGTTTGGGTTCTAGGATTTTTCCTAGATCTTTTCACGGCTTTGAGGGTTTTTGGGCTTGGGTTTTGGGGCTTAATAAGGCTAGCGGCTAAGGGTTTAGAGTTTTTAGGATGTTAGGGTTGAGGATGACCCAACCACAGGTCCCCGAGCTTTGCGGAAGGCCTGAATGAATCTGAATGAGGTGTTTGCCCATATGTTCTACCATTGGGTAACATCCAATAAACAGAAAATAGCCATCTGGGATGGTTTGCACCATCAACTCCTCCCAGGTTGGATCAGATGATCGCTGGCTGAAGGCTGCTCTTTTTTGGGGCCACTTGACCGGTCAGGCATAGGAGTGGTTGACATGAAAAAGATATTCAACAGCTTGGACAAGTCCAACCATTATGATGAAACAGCGATGGCACTTCTCAATACATGAAATGGAGATAAATGATGATAGATGTAGTGCGACAAATTCTTTGTAGACTAGAACCTGGTCTGTGTGTTTGCACAGCTGGTTCGCGGATAATTACCAGCTTTGGCGATGCGTCAAAGTTGGCATCCCTGGAGGGCCAGGGTCACGGAGTTTTGCGAAAAGGCATGCGCTGCTGCGGAGAATGGGCGGATTGAGCCTAAAGAAGGCTCAAGACACGGTCAAGTTACTAGAGAGCGAAAATGAACATGAGTGAAGTGCAACTTGTCATCAGAGTCTTTGAGCAGATGAAAATCAATTGGTTGGCTTTCTCTGACTTCTTTAGTCAAATTCGCCAGTACCTGGAGTACCAGAGGGGGCTGTATTCTGTAACGTCAGATCACTTTTATGCGACCAACACTTACCTGACATTGACTGAAGCAGCATTCTTGGCACGCCAGTCTTCCATTGAAGGCATTTGGCCACCGAGCATTGCTGTACGGGTGGCGATTCGCCTTGTTGCTCAAGCTTTTAAAGATCAACTTGACGTCAAAGAACAACCAGATGACTGGAAAATGAACGCCTCCATGATGGAAGTGGAAGAAGCTGGTTCAGAACGCAGCCAAGATATGAGAGTGCAATGCAGTTGCATTCAAGCGAACTGGTCAAAGAGTCAAACAACATGCCTACTCGATCCAACTTGTATGATACTTGTATGTAATTTTCAAGTTTTTAGCTGTCAGATTGCAACACATTCCCTCGTTGATTGGTATTCTGTTCACTTTGCCCTGGCCCTGGAGAAGACAAGCTGCATCATTAGCCAATCTCATCAAGAAGTGTAAACAACCAAAGAAAATACAGATTTTTTTCCCTCCATTGATCCTGATGGCTATACAGCCTGAGTTTGAGCAGGAGGACTTGTAACATGACGTCGAGCCGGATGCTTCTTTTGTTTCCTCAGCAGTCTCCAACTGTATGATCAGTCACTGGATCCATGACAGGATGCCTGGGAAGCGTTTTTGGAGAAGACCGATCCAAGGCTGGTGCAGCTCTGATTGGTTTCGTTTCCCGAGCCAAGAAACAAGATCGAAATAGAAATACAATGTATATGAGACATAATAAAATCCTCTAAAATCATATAACATCTCTGGATTGGCACGGAATTTCAGATTTCAGCTGCAACAAAAAGTCACGGAGTCTCCAGGAAGCGGGTCCACAAGAAGTTTCAGAAGTACACCTGGAGTTTTGGCATTGATGAGGTCCGGGAGAGTTCGAAGCTGGTTGATTTTCGATCAGCTGGTGGATGGGTGACAGGTGATGTGGGTCAAAAATTGGGGGAAAAAACCAGCCCCAAACATCCCCAAATCATACTTTTCTGATCTTTTCTGCAAGCATCATCTAAACCAGTCCAGTCTTGGGACCCTTTGCAAAAATCACCAACTGTAGCACTTTTCCCTTCAACCCCTAAAATCCCAAACAAACCCAACACATCATACAGTAACCACCATCACCACCATCACCAGCCCATCCAGGACGACGAAGGCTTCACCAGAGATTGCGTCATCCTGGAGGCACAGCAAGGGAACCAGCTGAAAGCGGATTTCTATGTGATTTTCTTAATGATTTTTAGGGCATATTATCGGCATATCGGCATATTATTGGCATAATATGCTTAGGGTATATCATATGTATTCGTATCTTAGATTACATATGATTATACAGTGTGGTGTTTCGTAATCCCAGCTCTTAAGCTATTTATGGGGATATAAGGATTATTAGATTTTCTTATTTGATTTATACTATGGAAGTGGAGTTATGGCGGATTCCATCATGTTTAATATCACATAACATGCAACCAACAGATTTGTTACGTGCAATTTTTCTTCTACCATATAATATATTAGTTATGCAATATATTTTATATCACATCATCGAGTAGCTACTGTGCTGCGAGTGCAAGCTGCACGGCCGACATTGCAGCTGGTTGGGTTCAACGGCATGGCAAATGATATGGTTTTGCTATGGCTGCGGCTGTCGCAAGTGCGCCGGCTGCTGATGTGGTTGGGGTGCAGCTTGGTATAGCCAATGCGCTTGGAACGGCTACTACTCTGCTGATGCAATGTGCTGGTTGCATTTTCTTGCATGGGACCAAACATCAGGCCTGGCCTGGTCCTGGAGTCCCTGGCCCTGGTTAGGTTTAGTGAGCATTCCAGGCATTGTTTGACACTTTTATCATTGATGATTGATCAAATAAACAGTATAACTTATAACACACTTTCTTCAACTAACTTACCAGCTTGGCTTCACAGTGGCAGTGGCAGTCATCCCACATGTTTGATTCAAATTGCATTTGCGCTTGCGCTGCAGATGGATACGTTCAATTCTGCAATGAGACTTCTTCGTGCTGCTGGGGAAGAGTCTCGACTGCAGTGGAAAGTTGAAATCTAGCAGTCATGCCACATGTTTGAAGCTGCAGCTATTGGCTATTGGTGCATAGTCATGCATCAGGAATATGAGAGGCGCTTTCCATCCAAAGATGATGATCGGCACTTCTCCAAGAAGACTGTGCGCGGTCATGTTGGCGCACCTGCGTATTCTCTGCAGCAACTATGCTCTTTCATGAACTTGTTCCTTGGACTTGGAATTTGACATTTGGAATTGATAGTGGATTGGTTAATTAGATCAGCAGATCTCTCTGCAAGATCAGATCAGATTGGTGTGCTGCCGTGCTGCATTGCTGTGTTACAGTTGCAATTGTCGAAGGAAGTTTAGAAGTGAAACTTCCGACAATATGGACAGTTGAAAAGCAGATGTGAGAAGAGTCAGAAGAGAAAATATCAGAAGAAAGAAGATGCAGGTGCGCGAAAAGGTAGGAATGTCGTGAAACACTGAAAGTCGCGAAACACTGTGTTTTCCCAATGATTTGGGGCTCCGGAGGGTCGAAAAGTAGGCTCGCTAAAGCGGCGGGTGCGGAGCCAGCTGGCCAGATGAGAGATGAACAGTTGCACGACGTTGTGGCGCGAAGCACATTTCGAAGTGAAAATGTACAAAACACCATGTTCGGACCGTCGGACCACTTTTGGAGGTTCAGATGTCGCTTCGCTTCGCTTCACTGCAATACACTGCATTACACTGCACTACACTTCACTACACTACACTGCATTACATTAACTTTCACTACGCTACACTGCACTCCACTCCACTACACTACAACTATACAACTACACTCCACTACACTCCACTAACTACACTAAATTACACTACACTACATTACGCTACACTACACTCCACTACACTACATTACACTCCACTACATCCCACAACAATACAACTACAACTACACAACTACACTCCACTACTCTAAATGACACTACACTACACTACATTACACTACAGGACTCCACTACACTACACTACATTACACTACACTACACTACCTACACTTCACGACATTACACTACACTACACTCCACTACACTACAACTACAACTACAGCTACACAACTACACTCCACTACACTCCACTACAC